ATTTAATCATTTTTGAAAAAGTTACGGCAGTTTTTAGTAAAAAAAATTTCGAAAATTAGCGATTTTTAAATTTGTAATTTTTTTGGAGGTTTCACCCATTTACGGGGAACGAAGGATAATTTGTTCAATTTTTAAGGGTAATGTCTTCGACTAGATACGAATTGTGATCTTTTAACGTATCGTTGAAAGAAATCCGTTCGGTGAGAGCTGAGAAAAAGTGGTAACAGACACAAAAAAAAAAAACCACATCATAGTAAAACCAATACCTTCTCAGCTTCGCATCGAAGCTAAAAATAAGAAATTGGTTATAGATAGACCTAGAACTATATAAATTTGTTTCAATAAAATTATCTGAAGTAAATTTTATTTATTTCTAGCATAAAGAGTGATGATTCAGTTATCACTACTACTCTATAATTCACAAAATAAATAAAAATTATTTTTTACATTTATAGTTACATATTTATTTAAAATTATAATTATATTATATAAAATTATAAAAATTAAGGCCATCTTATACTATATAAGAGTAATAACTTTAGTTTTTTAAATTTCAACAAATACAGAGTGTTCAGTAAGTAAGGAATCAGGTCAATTATTATAAACAATAAGAACAATAGAAACACATTTAATTACTTACTGATCACCCTATATATTTAATTAGCTTATATGTAAGCAAGAATACATAGAAAAAAATATGAATTTTTTTTTTTAATTTTTGTTGATAAAAAATTATGACATAATGTATTTTTTAAGCTATCAAACTAATGGTAAAAGTAGGGTAGTAGAGAGTTAAAACCGTTGAAAGTTTTGACANAGAAAAAATTTCGAAAATTAGCGATTTTTAAATTTGTAATTTTTTTGGAGGTTTCACCCATTTACGGGGAACGAAGGATAATTTGTTCAATTTTTAAGGGTAATGTCTTCGACTAGATACGAATTGTGATCTTTTAACGTATCGTTGAAAGAAATCCGTTCGGTGAGAGCTGAGAAAAAGTGGTAACAGACACAAAAAAAAAAAACCACATCATAGTAAAAACAATACCTTCTCAGCTTCGCATCGAAGCTAAAAATAAGAAATTGGTTATAGATAGACCTAGAACTATATAAATTTGTTTCAATAAAATTATCTGAAGTAAATTTTATTTATTTCTAGCATAAAGAGTGATGATTCAGTTATCACTACTACTCTATAATTCACAAAATAAATAAAAATTATTTTTTACATTTATAGTTACATATTTATTTAAAATTATAATTATATTATATAAAATTATAAAAATTAAGGCCATCTTATACTATATAAGAGTAATAACTTTAGTTTTTTAAATTTCAACATATACAGAGTGTTCAGTAAGTAAGGAATCAGGTCAATTATTATAAACAATAAGAACAATAGAAACACATTTAATTACTTACTGATCACCCTATATATTTAATTAGCTTATATGTAAGCAAGAATACATAGAAAAAAATATGAATTTTTTTTTTTAATTTTTGTTGATAAAAAATTATGACATAATGTATTTTTTAAGCTATCAAACTAATGGTAAAAGTAGGGTAGTAGAGAGTTAAAACCGTTGAAAGTTTTGACATACTATAAAATAATCAGGTGACTCATCAACTGAAGTTCAGACTTAATAATAATAAATATTATTAATTAAAATAAATAATTGTAGTTATGATTTAGTGTTAACCAACTGTTAGATAGAATTTTCAAATATTTCTATATATATTGTTATTTTCCTAGTTAGATAACTTGGTTATTAGCTTCGATGGGAAGCTGAGATAGTATTAATTTTACTATGAT